GAAAGATACACTCCTACAACGGATCTCACGAAAGCGAAAAACGATCGCTCTTCATTCATCAATTCCTAATGTTTGGTTTGCCCTCGGCCCTCCCCGCCAAGGAGTGATGGTGGATATCAGTCCTTTGTCAGCCTGTTGATAACAGGTAGTCGGTACATGCCTACAGAGACTCGTTACATTTAAAACAAGCATTGAGAGCATTTTAACCTGTTACCGTGCCATTTTATTAAGGCTTAACTGCACTATATGCATTATGAAAGCCGCTATACCTACCTACTTAAAATCGAAAAATATTTTGGTCATCGATTGCTTTAAGTGGTAGACCCTGTATAAAAACCATCTAACTCGGTTCAATAATTAAGGAAAGTTCATAGGTATATCCCACAATACCCTCTAAAAAAGTATAAAGTCATTACCTACAACGTATGCGGGGCCGCCGGCACAATTATTCCAAGAAGAGTCCCTGCCCATAGGAGAAGGGCACAAGTATATGTCAGAAAGGTCTTGCACAAGCTCAGTTTAGTCTCATTTTGTATTCATTTTATTTTCGTCGAATCCAGCCTTGCTCGCTTCACTGATTTTGCGGAGTCGCTTTCGCTGCTTCCGTAGCTTCTCCTTTTGAGGCCCCATGGAAGTGAAAGTGCTCCGCAGTCGGGACTGAGAAAACGTCAAAACGAAATGATAGAGCAGGAGTTGGCGTCACGTTAGCCGTCACTTTTCTAAAGTGGCCAATACCAACAATCACCTCCAGCGTCTCACTTGCGGCTCAATTCATGGCTATGCCTATTGCCGACTCTTTACTGCTGGACCTATTGAAGGAACGGGGAAGTCTCGGAAGACATGCGAGCACTTTATAAGTGCATACCTAAATATTTGTCGTCACAGATCACCGAGTATAATATGTAACTTTAGGCTAAGCTCATCCCCGGTAATAGTTCAAATGTGCTTGGCTTCTTAACTCGCGCCCCAGTGGCGATCTCAGCCAACTTCGCCATGGGGGGGGGGCATATGTTAGGGGAGAACGGGGTCAATTGTAACATTTTTTCATTTTATCATCTGGTGCAAACACGTTTGCAGTTATAAATCTCTTTCTTTTATTTTCAGAAACTATGATCTTATGTCTTAAAAATACAGTTGGAACATTTCCGAAATAACTGCTTTTTCGGGTCAAAATTGTTGTCCGAAAAAGTCAATTCAGCTGTTACAATTCACCCCAGATACGGGGTCAAAACTAAAAGTAACACCACCCGGAGACAATTGTAACATGTTAACTTACAGGCTACAGCAACACAATTTTTCCCAAAACTGTGATTTAACAAAAGTATTGAACACTTGTTCATCCTCCCAGACTTGGTAGGTACGGCTCTTCTCAGGAAAAAAGGCTTAAAACCTCGCACTTATACAGGGGTTGGATGGACCTCCTCTCCCTCAGTTTTTCGCAAATAAATCGCGTAAAAAGCTGCCGATTGCGACAAAACTTACAGTTCTCTTAATTCTAGCAATGTTCCATCTACCTTGAAAATTTGACGACTTTGACATAATGGCCACTGACCTATAACCTGTTACATTTGACCCCTGCAAAAATGTTACAATTGTCCCCGTCGCGCCTTGACTACTGTGCACAGCCATCGACATACCCGGCACTTTCGCTTCAAACTCCGTTGGGAAAGGCAGCATAGAATTACGCATTTTCGGTCTTAACATCAGGGCTCATTCTATTGGCAAGTTTATGAATTACCTATTAACACTGTTACAAATGCCCCGTGTTACATTTGACCCCGCTCTCCCCTACCACCCACCTCTCAAAAACTAAGAGGGCTAGAAAGACGCGGTAAAAGGCAGTCGATAGCGCTCAATGCGTACGTTTGAAAGTATTCCAGTCATTTCTCATCTTAGAGCGGTATTGGGGACCCCAGAGGTCATCAAAGGTCGAAATTTGCCAATAGTCATTATATTTTTCAGGAAACATGCCGTTATCCACTCTGATAGCTAGAAAAACGCATGGAAAAGCAATCGATAGCTTTTGAACTCTTCTTTTGATAAGGTCATCATCAAAATTGACCTCAGGTCAACGGTTTAGCCTCCAGAGGGCAAAAACTCCAAAAATATCTGTTTTAAACGAAAAGTGTTTTTCGACAATAACATTTTACTAGAAAAAGCCACGACATTTCTATTGCCAGAATCGTGTTCCTCTCGCCGAGACGCGTCGAATGAACTAAAATTGAAAATTTGACCTCAGGGCAAGGCCATGACCTGACCGGAAAAGGTCATATGGCATATCAGTCGATGCGTCTCAACAAGACAAACACAATGAGGCCATCCCCAGCGTTCTATCTCTTACCAATCGAGAGTTATAGGCAAAAATATGTTTGTAGCCCCAAATGACCTCGGATGACCTTCCTAGAGGCTATCAGCATAAAAGACACCTTGGTCGTCACGGGTGGTCCAAATCATTGTGATTCTGAAATATTTGGACTGTTCCTATGCGTACACACGGATCTAGAGGCATTTTAATTTTTCTCCATTGACTTATAATTGTTCACGCCACTGGCCTGACCTTAGGTCACGGATATAAAAAAATCTGAGACATACAAATTATAGGCGCCCATAACATCATGCAATCCACCAACTTTAAAACCTCTCTGACAAACACTGCAGGCTGGACATTATTGCAAACTTTTTTAGGTTTGGCCAGTTAACTTGACCTGGTGACCTGACCTGACATGACCTGGGGTCAAAAATTTCACACATTGTCCAAAATTGATGCACAGAAAGCTATTCCAAGCGGTGCGGCGCTACGCGCCGTGGTTTCTTATTCACTCGCAAAAAACGCGACAGGGTGGTAACATATGCCCCCCTCCCCCCTGGGGCGAAGGCTAAGAAAAGCCACGCAGTTAGTAAGCTTAAAAGCTATTGAACATAAAACATTACCTGCCGGCGTAAATATCTACGATTTGTTAGCGCAAGTGGCAATGGCATGCTTCTACTTTGCATGAATATAATATATAGGTATAATACTTTATAAAAGTACTGTATAATGTCGAATAATGACAACCAGCTCCCTGGTGTAGTCATAGATATTGGAGTAGATTATGAGCGTATCAGAGTTTGCCTGCTTTCATTTATACAGCGATATTAAAGATTTGCTAATAGGTAATTATGCTGTGCAGTTAATTAGGATTATAAGCATGTTATCCAAAAATAATGCCCGAGCTCAAGGCTGAAGTTCGTTGAAACTTCGGCATGCAACAAGCTTACGACAGGCGTAACCAAAGTTCCCACAATTGGCAATCAGTTATCGACTATGAAATAAACATTTCGGCGCTGAGCTTTGCAGAATTTGATGATGTCGTCGTTTAGCCATTCGCGTGTCCAAATCATCGCTCTCCGCGGTGGGTGTGGACGGTGGGCGATTCGCTCAAGGCCAGCGGCGGTCAGTGAGCACACCCCGTGCCGGGAGACACCTGAGGGTCGGGGGAGGGGGGGGGCTAGACTGGCATCCTGTCGAGATTACTGCACCTCCTGGGTGACAGCGAGATGCCAGGTGAACGGTGTAACCGCCACCGGCCGCCATTTACACAACAGACTGCAGATGAAGGAGACCTGATGTAAGACCGTTTAGCGGTAAACGTCAATTTCTAGGTGATGTTTTTTTATGAATTTGTCTTCGCCATTTTCATAATGTGGTAAAACACGGATTACTTATGTAGTTATTACATAATTGCTGCTGGTGTCACTAATTTACTTCATGCTGACGATACTGACTTATGTCTGTTTTTGTAACGTTAATTACATTGAGACGTAATCAAGAGATGGTCATCCGAAAGATTCCGTGGTGTGTATAACAGGATATCCTCAAATGCATACCTACACCTCCCAACAACTGTTCGCTGTAAGACGCCAGCCGCGGCTGGGGCGGCGGCGGGCGCTCTCAGCCGGTACGGCTGTCCGTCCGTGTGCGGTTCGACCAGCGATCAGCGCGGCCCGCAGGCGTCAGCTGACAGCGCACCAATGTTACAACAGACTGTGATGGAGGCCGATGACTCCAGAACGGATGCCCGCGGTCGCAGCCGCAGAGACTGGCCGGTGCTAGATAGAAAGCAGGCGGAGGAGATATGGCTTGGCGACGCGCTCGGAATGCGGGAAGTGTTTCTGTAAATTATAGTTTGTTTGTCGGTAACAGCGCGTGAATGTCGGTTCAGGTGGTAAGCGGCGCTGAACGGTTGCGTAATTAAACCCGTAACAGGAAATACATATGTGGATCAATGCTTTAGTGTTGGAAAGGATGTCGAGACCGCAATGATCTGTAGTCGGTAACAAATTGGTATTCAGTAGCGGCGGAACACCTCCAATTAAGGGGGGGGGGGGCACTGCCGACTTTTGGTCCCATTCTTTCCATGCAACGCCCATAGGGCTAATGTTAAAATGCCAAAATCAAAGGTGGGCACGGTGCCCCGGTGCCACCCCCGTTCCGCCGCCTATGTTGGTATTAGCAGTTGGGTCGTTCAAAATTAAATCGAAAAGAAAACGAGCGTTTTCCTTGGATCTGATTTAGCTGTTGCTTGGACGTAGCGAATCAAAAACATTTTAGAAGCACAAGCGCGAAGAAACAAAGAACAGTTATGTAGAAAGATGGGTTTTTTCAATCTGGACAACTAGCGAAGGTCTTTGCTGCATAGGAAACATCTGCATTCTGCAATGCAGGCAGAAGCATTGCAGGTAGGCAAGCATGCTACGATTTGGTGTTAGTGTTCTATGCTAAACGGCAGTCTCCCAGCATTGGGCTCATCGCGTTCGCGCATCTCGGAAAAAGCAGTCCCCTTGCCCTCAAACTTACATTGAACCGGGTGCTTAATTTCTGTAAGATTGTCTTAGCCTGCACAATTAGCCCACCAGTGCTCTTTAACCATGTAAATAGCCACCTCAAGCAAACAATCTGGACTGAGATGAAGACCATGACCGAGCGGAGAAGGTCGAGCGTCAAACACCGCTGCGAGCACAGTGTGGCGCCGGCACGGTGCACCGCGGCGGCGGTCACCGTTCCAGTCGGGAGCCTCACCGTGCTCGGGTGCACCGCGCCAGTGGCGGACACATACCGGCCGGCGAGGAACGGTCCACGGCGGGCGCTCAGTGAGAAGCCGCGTGGGACGGGGCGCCGGCGCCGCTCGGGTCTCCCGTGTCTCCCGTGTCTCCTGGTGAGCTCCAGGTGAGCTCCGGTGAGTCTCCGCTCCCCCTGCCTCCCCTGTGCACCCGTATCTCCCCTGCTCGCCGAGCCGTCCGCGGTCGCCCGCCGGCGACACCGGTTCTGTCGGAGGCCGACGAGTTCACGCCGAGAAAGCGCGACGGAAATGGTGCGGAACAAGCGAGCGGCGCCGGCAGCGCCGCCGACGGCCGCGCTGTCGCCACCACTCGTCCAGACAGTGCCGTGGAGTGCAGACCGACGCAAGCCTCGCGCACCTCCGCCACCCTCATCGCCGACGACGATGCCGACGTCTGTGGAGAAGACGGGCGGCGTGCTGCCGCCGCTGCCGGCACGCGGTACGGCCCGCTTCTGTCTCGGTCCGTACGAGCGGCGCGGAGTCGGCGCGGCGGCTGACTCGGCCGACGGTGGCTCGCTCGGCATGGACAGCGAGGGCAGCTCGACAGACGTGGGCGTGTGCATGGACGACTCCGCCAGCGACGCCAGCCAGGAGTCGCTGGTCACGTCTGACTCGGCGGTCAGCTCACCGCCAGCCAGGCGGATCGGCCGCCGCAGCCCCGGGGCCGGCTCGACGGACGGCGCCGCGATCTCTCCGGGAGCCACTCAGAAGAGCAGCGGAGCCAGAACCGTGTCCGAATCTCGGTCTGCCGGTGGAAAGGCGTCGAAAACACAGACGGTGTCCATCAACTGGACTCCAGCGCCGGCGGAGAAAACGACGAGTCAGGTGATCTCTGTGAACGGTGAGACAGTGCAAGAGCGGAGGCTGGACAGGAGCGCGGTGAACGTGGTCTCAACGAGCCCTGCTTCTCCGAAGGCCGTGTCTGTGGTTGAGCTGAGCGCCCGAAAGGTGCCTAGTGCGCCAAGCTCACCGGTCCAGGTCTCTGAAGCCATGGTATCTCCACTCAGTGACCAGAAGCAGTCTCAGACGGTCAAGGTGTCTGCGACGCCAAAACATAACAACTCCTCGAAACAGAACTCGCCCTCACCAACCACTTCTCGTGCGTCGTCTGTGGGTTCTTCGACAGTCTTTCTCACCCTCGAGCAGCCGACTACCGTAGGCTCTACGACAGCGAAGAAGTTATCATCTTCTTCCAAGACGTCACCGACATCGTCTCCTTCGCCTACAGCATCGCCAGCTCCTCCAGCTTCTGCCTCGACTCAGGGAAGCACATCCACCGTCTTCCTGTCGCCATCTCAACCAGACTCGAAGTCAGCGTCGGCGCAGAAGTCCAATGGAACAGCGTCACCAGGCAGCTCTTTTGAAAAGCAACAAACCTCTTCAGCTACTTCACCGTCATTGGGAGTGATACCATCTCAGCAAACCCTACGCAAGACCAAATCTCCACGAAAGCCACCGGCTCCGCTGCCTCCTGTTAGCCCCTCCCCAGCTCCCTCAGAATCTCCAGAACCCTCCGTGGACTCCACATCGACAAACCCATCGACAGCGCGTGCCGCGCTCCGTCAGCTGCAGAGCCCGGCCCCTGTGCCTCCTCCGCCGAGTCCCGTGCAGACGCGGACCTTCGCCGAGCGGCAGCGCCGGCCGTGCAGCGCGCCGGCCATGCCACCGCTGCCCGAGCCCGGCTTCCAGTTCCACCTGCGCGAGGCTGCGCCGGGGGGAGAGCAGGGAGAATCGGCCGACGGGTTCGCCGGCGTGCGGGACTTCCTCGCGCCGGCAGCGCCCATCCACAGCAGCCGCGGAACGGTGCGCGGCGTCAAGGACCGCGTCCGCGCCGGGATTGCTACCTTCCTCCAGGACAACTCCACCGCAAAGGTAGGTGGCCAGTGGGGGCTTCGGGGATCGTGTCGTTCTAACGTGGGAATACACTAACCCAAGCTTTTCATCTAAGCCCGAATGCATTTACTTGAAGCCTCTTAAGATTTTTAATCATAGCTCTTCGGTTTGGGGAGGATCGCATCGTACTTAAAAGCCTGTAATGGGACAACCAGCAAACTGACCCTTTTGGCCCATCAAGTGCGAGGTAAAAATCTAGCAAACAACCGAGATGACACCCTTGCTAATGGCTTGCTCGTTTCAGTTCTTCCTTCGTTGTGCTTCAAAGCATTAAAACGTAAAAAATAATTACAAGCTCAGAGATATATAAGCGGTCAATAGTCATTAGTCACGCCCTCGCGGATTATGTTGATGTAAGCATCACATATCGATAGGTACTAATGATAACACAAAGTTCATTTGATCAATTTCTTTTTTTATATAGGTATACGAGTTTCTTGATAATGTGTCATCGCAATTAGTCTAATCAATAAGCTAATGGCCATGCACAGTTCATTCATATATGCACGTGGTATTCATACGGACAAACGAAATACGCATACCTGTATCGTATGCTATTACCAATTAGACTTTTAGACCAAGTTCAAACATGATATTCCATACGAATGGTTGCATTAATGCAGCGGGTCATTATCACTGTGCCAAACTAACAAATATGCTCTCTGTAGAGGTTGAGTAAGTCAAAACAGTGGCTGAACGTCTGAGACGACCGTCGTTCAAAGCTCGGTTTGAGCCGATTCGATGCTCGCTATTTGCTCCTAGACATATGTAGGAGGGCTGCGGTCACTGACAGTGGTCGTGTGAGGCCAGCTGAGGCCGGTAAACGGGACAGGGCGTGTCCGTTCAGTGGACACTTTCAACAGTTGGCTGAATTCCGCCCCTCCACAGAAGTTACCCAACCGAGTGGAGACGGTCAGACCAGCCCTATTACAGCTCGATTTGGGGATAGCTGAAAGCGAAATCTAAGCTGCCAGAAGGTACAATAAATTAACATCAACGACCTAAAATAAGTGTAGGTACGGTACATAGAACATTTAATACATGAGGTCCTTTCAAAAGTATCTCGTCAACTGGCTAGCCGTTCTAAGATTCATCGTGCCCATGATGCACCGTTACCACTAAAAATACATGACACTAACTCAGACAATAGACATTGTTGCGGTAGCACAAACTTGCAAAAAACCAAGGCCAACAAACCACCCTTTCTCTCCCCCTCTCTTTAGCGTCTGGTTATCTGGTTATCTGGTCTGGTCTGGTTATCCCTAGCGTTTTTACCATTTAGCACAGAGCATCTCTTCGTTGCCCAGTGACAGTTTCCATGTGAACCGTACCAAGTGGTGACAAATTCGGCTCCAGCCTGCCTGCACGATGGATCTAAAAACCGCCAGTCGCTCTGCAGCCCCTCTTCAGACGAGCCGCCGCCAGCGGTCCCGTTATTTCGCGCCCCAGTCATGAGTCACTTTATGCCGAGCGTCTCCTGTGCCTATCCCTCCCGGCTGTCACGGCCTGTGCAGCCGTCTCAGTCGTGTCTCTGCCTCTATCAACAGTCTTCACATATCTCCATTGTCTCTGAGCTGTCTCTCCCAATATCTCCGCTGTCTTTCCGCTGTTTCTCTTCATATCATATCTCTGTTACCTATATCTTTCGCGTCTCATGCGTCGCTCAGCTGTCTCTTCGACATCTCTGTGCCACTCCTGCGCCGTTTTATCTGCCGTCTTTTCATCCCATCTCAATCTCACGAATGCCTAACAGCTTCTTAACCTTATTTCAATCACTGCACCACGACGCCAACCCAAATTACTCGCCACGTTAAAGGGACCCTCCCACCTTCAAAAAAGTTAATCAATTGGCATGAAAGTGATGTCGCTCGGTTCAGAAAGAGCAAAAACGAATATCTACCAAATTTCATCGAAAAATATTCACCGGTTTTCAAGATATTAGACTTTTACTTTTGTTTACTTTTTGGGATCTCCGCTGTTCCTAGCGACTTTATTTGAAAGTGCGGCATTTGTTGCGCGCAAAGCAGCATATACCACCGCGTGCTACAAAACGTTTTAGTCAAACATTTAACGGACGTTCGAAAGCCTGATGACGTCATCAGATTCCCGTAATGGTTAAGAGATAGGGACCACGCTGGTCCCACCCTGCAAGTAAAGGGAAGAAATTTCTTGAACACCATAAAGCTGCGGGGGTTGTGACCAGGATAAATGGTGGTTTCTGAGCCTGGCCGCAAACTTGGCTATCTCAACTCAAAACTAATGTTAAGGTGGGAGGGTCCCTTTAACTGCGCCACGCGCAACAATCGAGTGTCGGTGCACGCGCGGTGTCTGCCCCCCCCCCCCCGGACGAGGTCGATCATTCACCTCGGCTGGAAATCATGACCGGCCGGCCGGCTGCACCGGCGCTGGCGACAAGGCTGACCCACAGAGAAAACCCAGCCGGATCCGAGCCGATCACGTGACCTGTCGCCTGGCCGCGCCGCCCGGTCACGTGACGGGGGCCGCGCCAGCCGAGCGTGGAGAACCAGAGTCGAGTCGCTGCCGCGCAGGGCCGGTGCCATAAGAAGCTGTTTGTGCCCGATTTCGAGCTTTCCCTGGCGCGGCCACACCCAAGGCCCTGTCGGCGACGGGCGGGGCAGGTGGTAATAAGAACTGGCCGGGGTCAGGTCGTACTGGGGAGGCCATTAGTGAGCGTATTTGCTGTGCACTTGGAGCTTAATAGCTGTGTGCGCGCGGCGCATTACCGATCCAAACGGGAAAGTTGCACATATCTGATGACAGCATCGATATTTGGGAAAGCTGTTGGGGTGGTTGCCGATAAAAACCTAGATATTATCTATCTGATATCATAGCTGATTACGAATGACACATTGACGCCTGGCGTCGCATGTCTATAATAAGGAAATCGCTATGAGCTTTCATTTATACTTTCAAACGAGCATGAGTATCTATGCATTTCATTTGTCGTGAAAATGTGATCAGCCAGGCATCGGTGCGATCAGTGAGGAAAAACAAGCACGGTGCTTCTGTTCACTAGAGCTTGCGGTGGCGTTGATAGACACAGACATAAGCGGCACTCTACCAGTCGGTGCCCTGATCTAAAAATGACAATAAGGGCCCAAACGTTCCGGATAGTGGGGGCATTCCACGATAGATCGTACCACTTTTTTCCAATTTGACACCCTCATCTCTCGAAATTTGACGAGAATTGGTCTCAGGGGTAATCAGGGGCTCTGAATCCACCTGTAACAATTTCAGGCTTATCAGATAAGTATTTTTTGAGTTATGGTGTGTAACATTTTTTGGATCTTGCTTTGCAGCGCTAAGTTTGGCGGGCTGTAACTCTAAGACGGATTATTCAAATGCCAAATGTTATACATATAACATTGAACTTGCAATGAAACAGAGATTAATATGTATTTTTGAAATTTCGAAAAATACGCTTTTTTGATATATGACATATCGAGTTTTCTTTCATTTGTATTTTTTGGACTTTGGGACCAATTTTTTTTGAATTTTTATTTCTTTAAAAAAATATTTGGCTCGTTGTTAAGAAGTATGCAAAAAATTAGGAAGGTGTTCTTTCTATAAATGTATTTATTTTACGTCACGATAACGGTTTCGAATAGTGATTTCAGGAGGGGAGCTTACAAATGGCGTGGTAAAGCTGCCTAGTGACATCACGGGTTACTGAAATTTCAATTCAAGTCTGAGTCATCTGAAAAAAGTGGAAAGAGGGTTCATTCAACCCTCTTTCCTATAAGCGCGAGGGTGAAAAAGGCTGTTTGGTTCTGACATTGTTTTGGACGCCAATGACCATAGCTGTCCGAGATGAAAGTTACAGGACGCATACATGGTGTCCTCCAGAGGTCTCACAACTTGTATATCTGGGAATTTTTTCAAGGTTACATGAGGTCAGGTCGGTCACGTGACATCACTGTTATAAATCAATGGGGAAATATAAAAACTGTTATTTTGGCACCGAGAATGATCTAAAACTATCCCACGTACATGGTATCGTGATTTCATGCACTCCTTGCAAAGTCCAATGCTTTACTTTTGCATTGTTAACCTTGCGTGACGTCATTTATGACGTCACTAGGGTCGTACGAGTTTTTCGTCAATAACTCCCGATCAAATGGAGCTAGAGAGTCGGGAAAGCCACCAATGGACTCGGGAAGACCTTCCGAATCGAATGATATGCCATATGATACCCTTTGCCCAGCTTCGTGACCTGAGGGGCTCTGACGTGACCTTGACCCGAGGTCAACTACTTAAGTTGACCTCACCCTAGCAAAAAGTATACCATTCGATGCACCTGAGCTAGGCGAACACAATGATGCCAAAATCGCGGCTCTGCGGCCATTTTTTGCGAAGTTATTTACTAAAAACCGAACCCGTAACTTCAGTCACGTGACCTGGCCTCAGACGCTACCGGTTAACCTGAGACCTTAAAATCGGGTACCAATCGCTGCGACTTGTAACGGCACACACACTCGTTTTTTCTGCGAGGCTCTAGCTCTATTAGAAGCGAAACGGCGTGCTGGGGTCGTATCAACCCCTCCGAAACCCATTTTGTTTGAGGAAAATGAGGAACTTATAGAAAGAACACCTTTCTAATTTTTTGCATGTCGATTTGCAATGACATGAAGATTATTTTGAAAAAATAAAAATGTGAAAAATTTTGGTCCCAAAAGTCATTAGAGGCAAATGAAAAAATATTAAGGTTTTTGCTCAACAATGAAATTTTTTCTTTGGAATTTTTAAATAGTAATATTAATTGTTGATTCATCGCAAGCTTAGTGTTGTTTACTTTTTGTTGGTTGCTTAACCCGTTCTTGAGTTATAGGCCATCAAACTCACCGTTACATACCGAAGTTAAAAAATGTTATGCAATATAACTCAAAAAGTTTTGATCTGAGAAGTCTGATATTTTGCCAGGCGTCTTTGGAGCCTATGATTACCTCTAGGACCGATTTTCATCAAAATCTGAGAGATGAGGGTGACGGGCCTGGTTACGATCTATCGTGGAATGCCCCAGTGATCACAGAAGTTTCTCCAGTAAATACTACGCCAATGCTCGTCTCCAACTCGAGTTCTATCTTTATGCACCTGGGCCCAATGCTGTAAATACCGTATCTTGGAATGCAGCTCATGAAGTGTGTAAGATCTCGCTCCTATGACGCGACTCTGTGATAGTCGCAGTGGTAGCGCGAGTCGCGATGCGCCGTTCCGGGCGGGCCATGACCTGCGGTTGCCCTGAGGCATGCGGTCTCGGCTCCCGGGCACCGTGCCGAGCCGGCGGCTCAGATAGGCAGCTCCGTGACGCCGGCTGGCCCCCGTGACCGTGACTTCTGCCGGGAGCCGTGACGTGACGACCCCGGGTGACGCGATGTGACGATCATGATCCCATGACTACCGGGGCGGAGTCGCGGCGGTGCTCGTGGCAGAGTTTTTAGCCCGTGACATACCAACGAGGCGTAGATAGGTCATTAGCAGCCTGACGTTTACTTGACAGGCGATTCGATAATGGACGGGGCGCGCTATCCTTAGCGTGTTACACACGCATGACATACTGGGCTGACCATGAAGGTGTCGAGTGGGACTTTATCTTGGTTTTCTAAGCGTTTGCAGACGCTGGAGCGGCCCTAACTAGGGCTTGTGTGGCCCCCGACTGGGCAGCCTATATTGCGGTCATGACCTGTGCTCGAGAAACAAGCATCCTCCTAATCTCTCCCCAGGGGCAGAACGGGTGCCGTCCGAGCGAGGGAAAGCTGCAAAATTGTGCCTAATTTGATAAAACTCACAACCTGCTTATTCAGAAACCACAAAGCTGAATAATCTTGTGCTGCTGTTTACTTCCTAGTTTCTAACATGTTCTCAACCACGATACGCTAAAACAAGCTCGGGGCCAACTCCACCCAGTAGAAAGTGTGTTGTAATTCTCCGTCTGGTCTGCGGACCAGGACCCTGTCGGGACGGACGGCGGCCGGTCCGCTACCGAAGCTCGGACCGCCGCCGGACCGGCCACCGGTCACGGGACCTGTGACGTCATAGGCTCACCTTGAGCCGCCCTTGTCTCTGCACACGGCCGAGCCGAAGCTGCGCCGCTTTTGTGCCAAATCACTCCGCTCTCTCTCCGGTTGGTTTGTCGCGCTTCTTTGCTGCCGAAAAACGGCGCAGAAGGAAGAAGAGGTGAAGAGCCGGTGGCTGGCCGCGGGGGTCGGATGGGAGGTGATGGAGCGAGATGAAAACCGATAGATAGCCGACCCGAGAGATGATGAATCAAACCTGTGGCGTCCCGAGAGAGCTAACAAATGCGTCCAGGCGGGGCGCCGGGCCTTTTTTGGTCAAAATAGTAAGGAATGATTCTCCGACTGCCGCCCGCGCACAAAAGACTATTTTTGGTCGGCATAACGGATGGAAAGTGAGAATCAATCGATTATCGTCGCTCTGTGACGAGTAGTGGTGTCCTCCAAACACAACAAAGACCGGTTTTTACTGTGTGTCCGGATCTGGAATCAAGTGTTCATCAGGCGTAACTAATGTCAAGAATAAAGATAATAGCACGAAACTTATCCACGGGATCAATTTCCCGGACCAGCTTTCACGCTTGGGGATGTTGGACCCGGAGGTACCCGGTTTGAAGTGAATTTTCTCACCTCCTCTGGGACTTCGGCACTTGATCCAGGCAGTGGGACGGAGCCAGGGTATATTGAGTGGACGGAGCGGCCACAGTAAAACCTGGACGGAGTACGCGCCCGGTGTCGTTTTCTGACACCAAACGAAAATTACATGGAATGCGGCACCGATCGTTCACGGTCCTCAGTTGACAGCTCACGGTTGGCGCCCAACTATTTGGGTGAAGGCCTGGAGCGATGTTGCGCAACCGATCTCAACACCACAAGTCAAGGCGCGCGGACGGGCCAATCTTCTGCTCCGCTGGCTCGTAATTTTATTTCTCCGATTTGAACGTGTGAGCGTGGAGCTCTGGTGCTGACCACATTTAGCCATGGATGTTGTGCAACGTGTGACTTTAGAGTATATGTGGCTGGGAGTGTTCAATCGTGCATTGAGCATGGGTTATGTAAATTATAAGAGCTTGGGTGCGTTACCCTCGCTACTCCGAGCAGTATCACTGTCGAGGCCAGACTTGAGCAGAGCAAAAGACGAAGGTTGACTCAAGACCCTACACGATACCTCTCTGCATACGCATGCATTGTATATTTATTGATATCTCATGCTTACACCAGCCAAGTCTCTCACCACTCACCAGTTACCAACTGCTGCCCATCACCCATCACCAACCATTCACCGTTCATTTACCGTCCACCGTCCATCGCCCCCCCCCCGTCCACCGCTCGCCGTCCACCGCTTCCGTCCACCACCTTCACCTCCCACCGTCCACCGTCCATCGCCCCCCCCCCCTGTCCACCGTTCACCGCTCTTCAGGCGGCGTCCGTCAGTGACCTCACCTCTCTGGTACGCCGAGCACGTCCCGGTCGAGAATTCTCCTGAGCGATCGCTCCTGGCCCGGCCACCCGTTCCAAGTGACCTTGCAGGAGGAGATTCGTGACAGACCCCGGTCAGTCAGCTGACTGACCTGTCAGACTGACAGCAAGGGTCACCGCCCCGAGAGTTAGCGGCCGCAGTCTGTTGCTAGGGAACGCGACGGCTGCGCAGTGAAGGTGCGGCAGTCCAATGTCGACACTCGAGAGTTGATGATACGAGATTGTGTGATGTGGTTGGCACTTGACATTCATGAATTCCACAAGAAAGTAAGATGCGTTCATGCGTGAAATTCGTGCACAGGCCATGGGGGGGGGGGTGCGATAAAGGTGAAGGTGTCTGCTCCTCGGATTACACAATGTTCGAAATCGGAAAATATTTCATAGAGCTATGAAATATAAATCAGAACTCAAAAATCAGAGCTCTCTGATTTTTGTCTTTAAAATGGATGGTGTCGCTACCATGCCGGTTATAGACCTATGATGTAAAATTTTACATCATCCTGAAGTGAGTTCAGGGAAGCGCGACGGCACATAAAATACAAAATAACTTTCACTGCCGGCAGATAGCTTTCACTGTCGACCAAATTTCATTTAGGAGGGGCCACTGGTGTCGGCATGAGAGTCGGTACTGGAGCCACGGACCTTCGAGCATCAGCTAATAGTGAGGCTTGATGGCCAGGATTGACGGATGTTTTGTGATTTAATGATAATGTCAGGCTTATCCTCCGAATCCAGACATCAGCATTTTCTCTCAAATATATTCCTACTACCTACGGCCTTTGCCTACGTTCGAACGTTATCTGACGAATACCGTTTGTTTAATTTATTTGTCAATACGTAGTGTACCTAGCAGTAAAGTTACTGATCTTAGTTTTAAGTTTTACTTGTTTGTTAAGTATCACTTCTAGTTGAATCCTCTACTCTTTCTTGTTTTCCTCAATTTATTGAATAATCTTTAAACGTTATCTGTTTTTATAAGAGGAAATGAAGGCTGAAGCTCTAGCCTCCATCATCAACATGCTTTTGACGAATTGGAGCGTAACTAATGTTTCTAAGGTAATTGGCCATCTGCGACCCACCATGCGTGTGGACATCGGAAGCTTTATTATTTATTTCGTATTGTACTTTAGGGAAACGAGAAACTTGAATAGAGCGATGTTTTCTTCTACATGGAAAGTGTGTACGGTCATGTGGATATGAAACATATATTCCCACCCAGAAGACACGACTCAACCGAATAAAACGCAGATATTACTTTACAAAACGTTTCATAGCATCAACCCCCAGGACCCCTTTTTGACACCACCGTTCCCCTGTGACTGCCCCCAGGCGCTGAAGGTTCGCGAACAGGGCCGGCTGGTGGTCTACGTCACCTCAATGGGTATCGTGCGGCCCACCTACCAGCAGTGTCAGCGCGTGCGGCAGATCCTCCGTCAATTGATGGCCGAGTTCGAGGAGCGCGACCTGTTCCTCAGCGTGGACCACCAGCAGGAGCTGCAGCGGCGGCTCGGCGCCGACCGCGTCACCCCGCCACAGGTGTTCATTGACGGAAATCTGCTCGGGGTGAGTGCCTGCCGCAGCGTCGTCACGAGACCAAACGACCGTTTAAATCATTCGATGCCCATAAATGCAGGTCATTGCTGATAGCGTTGATAGCTTCCGATTACTTGAACTTTAGCATGATGGCAAGAACCCAGATGCGAGGGAAGCAAGCATCTATCAGAAAATCTGTAGCAATCAGTTTAACATTTCCACTAAATGATATCGTTGCTAGGTAGGGCAATGGGTCGGTCACATGCAATGCTTTGATACTAAGCAAGTATCATGTTAAGAAGGCGGCTGTTATTTGGTGTTTACATGGTGTAAGACAATGGCGAACTTCAATCCCGAGAACTTTTTCCTGTTCGATCATGTACGCTTCACAGTAAGCCTCCTTGCTGAAGCTACTGCTGCCTCACGATCTATCAGACAGCAAAATTGGCAATGTCACAACGACCGCGTATTAATTCAACTTATAAGACATCATTACCATACCGACATAACTAAACGTCTTGACAAAATATACCTATCACACGAGTGCCACGAATCGCGACTAAGTGCCTGACGTTGTTTGATCCGGCCTTATTGCCCTTGACAAATGAAAGGTAGCCAAGATCGATGTACCGTTAAGTAGGGACTAGGGAGAGATGTAAGGATGTGATCGAAATTAATCACTAAGCATGACATTTACTTGCATAACCGGGTTTTAGGCGCCGACCACCTTCAATCCAGCAGTGGTCCCTGAGGGTCGGATTCTTGGACTCAATCCCTTCATATTGTTGGTGGAAATAGTCATTTTCACCTTCCATACGGACATATATGAGCACGTGCACTCGACAAACACAGCTATAAACAAAATAATAGTGACAAGAACTCAATCTCCGGTTTACCTCTCATGGGTACCGCTCATAACTGCCAGCTGACCTTGCTCGAAAACCACAAAAAGTCGGGACATCTCAGCTGAGGTGGCCAGGCAAGTTTTTGCCGCCGATCGGGACAGCATTACACGAGCTCCGGTGTCCGCCCGTGGCAAGGTCAGGACTCCTGGACGGTCGGGTTCCGCCTCGTGTCTGAGCCGCCGTCGGCCATGGCATTGTCACGACAATTTCATGACGGTAGCGCGTCACGGTGTGCACGGGCCGTCACGTGACGCCGGCGGGCTCCCCGGCGCGCGGCGTGACCCGGGGGCTAATTTCCGTAACGCGTCACGGCTCGATTGGAGGCCGGCGCGTGACACTTGGCTACGTTCCGTGACGGATGTAACACCCAGCGTACAGGAACAATGCGCGTCTGAGTGCGTCTAACCGCGTGCTCATACGCAATAAGTGCAGATAGTAGATACTATCTATGATACTATCAATGACAAAACGGCAAGTGAACAATTAATTATACTTAGGCTTTGCTACTCGCAGCACATCTAATATGGGCTTACATAAAACGTCTCGAGAGTTCTCATTGCAGAAAACGTGGTATTGAGACATTGCGTTGTAACCTCGCCACTGCACGTTATCAGGACATGAATCATGAAAGACTGAAGTGCTCCTGCGTTTCCGCCCTGGTTCTGCGTTATGCGTGTTTTGAACTTGCCATGATGGCGATGTCATTATACAAAGACGTAGGCTGCATGTCGGAAGGTATTTAGACCCAATGGAATGAGAGGCATCGCGCGTCTCCGTGCTATGAGCTCGGATCGACAAATAACATTGCTTTCGAGATATTCTCGGTTTTATCAAAAAGAAATGCCTTCCTACCACGCAGTGAGTCGTGGGCTGTATATCAGAAAGTGCAGTAACCAAGTTCTCTGACACGTAAATTACCATCATATGATGACGAGGAAAAATGAGACGGTCTCAACTCTCAAAGAAAATTCAGAGATCGTTTGTCTTGGATAATCACATGGACCATTGTGATTGTCTGCCATAGCCAGTAAAACTCAAGATCATCATGCAAATCAATCAACGTCACGCGTTCCGACCTCAATGCACTACGGTTGTCATTTTTCCCGTGCAGCCGTACTATCTGTCCTGATTTTATCACATTTGTGTCATTAAACTGTGACCACGTTCTCGGCCATTTTCCAGCTCTGCCGCGTTTCTCCCCGCGCCGGGCGCAGAGGTGCCTCCGTGCTAGGTGATATGCCGGTCTCTGTGACTGTTTCCACCACCGGGTGACATTGTTACCTCGTGTCCCGTTACCGCTGACACCAGCTGGTATGTACGTCGGCCACCGTATCAGCCCACCAGAGACCGAGCACGACCATGGACACATCACGTTCCCGGGATTTTCCCAGCCTCCGCCCGCCTGCTGCTGACTCACTAAAGCCGTTAATTTTGCGTGAGCAATGATGGATCTGGTGTTTGAACACTAACAGTAAGCTTTCCGAGAAAGTGTCCCACATGTCGAATAAAATTTGCGGTGAAACTGTGGTCGTTTTTATCTCGTTTGTCAGGTGGCATGCGACACTGCCATGGCTGCGGTTCTGCATGCTGCACAGTGCACATCAAACATTAATATATGTTTTATTCTGGGGTTGAAAGGAGTCTGTACACTACAGTACAGTCTGTATCGCTGATACTATAGTACTCTTATCGCCCACTGGTGTTTCAGCGAGAAAACGGAACACGCACTGAATTATAACGGTCCCTGAAGCCGCATGGTGATTAGGTGTTGCATTACTATCGAACTTAAAGCATTGCTCTGACAAAATTCACGGATCCCTTGTCACTCAACAACGGAATTTCGAAACTCTCCGTCACAACATATCACTTCTACCGAACTAGCAGTTTCACCAAGCTTCTTTCACAATACCGATTCCGGTTGATTCGTTTTTATCTCCTGTCATTCCCGCCTGCCCGACACCGTCCCCACTAGCCCTCCCATCTCGCGGCTCACACAAGTGCCCATTCAGACCGCAGCGTCGTCGCTCTCCGGAAGCGCGCGTCACCAAACGGCATGAGACTTTCTCCGGTCTCTCCGCCGAGCGAAGGAGCCGGCCGGCTGATGAGCGGACGGGATCGGCCGGCCGGCGCCGAGACCGTTCCCGACCACCAGGGCGATGTAACGGGCCGCCGAGCCGAGCAGAGCGGAGAGCGTGGCACGCATCACGTGCGCCACGTCGCCCCGGGGCATCGCTCGGCGCTGTGGAGCGCCACGTCGCCTCGGGCATTGCTCGGCGCTGTCAATGACACCAGCATGTGTATCACCTGCATCACATGACAACTGAGATCAGGTGCAACTTTTCTGGATAAGCTCATTACCGTCCACACTGATGACAATCAAAGGTGTACACTTGTCGGAGATGACGAATCAGGATATAATACCGACAAGTAATTGGCGTCTGGTCCGCGGTTGTATGCAATGAATGTGTATTTCCAGTTCTTCATGGAACCCGCCTCGACAATACCAATTTGCCATCAATGTCTTTCCTATTACCAGTTATTCAGATGCACGCCTGGCCTAAAAGGAAGCTCCAGCGTGCCCCGAAAATGACAATGAAGCGGCACATTTCCAGCCATTAACCTCTCCATTAGCTCTGCCCTGTCACATGCACGAGAGGATGGGTGATAGACCACCTCGATCGAGACTACGGCCCGCTTTCTATCACCCCCGATGTAGCCTGTGTCCGAGTTTGGACTCTGCTAAGACGGGAGACTGATGATTCTTTTTTGTTCGCAGGGAGCCGAGGTGGTGGAGCGTCTGAATGAAACCGGAGAGCTGCGCAGGATGCTCAAACGTTTCAAGGTAAGTGACAGGTGGCGTGAGGAGGCCTGAGGATCGGTCTAGCGAGTCGGTCAGACCATCATCCATCGTGGAAACCGGGTTGTTTACGCTGAGTGATGGATTCAAACTTACAAATCGTTCCGATTGGACGACTGTGAAAGTTGTTATGACTGAGCGCTTTGGATGTCTAGCGTTGGGCAAGTATTAAATGCTGAATTTATGAAAGCTGATTCTCATCGATGAGCTATGGCAACACACTCATGAGATCCAAAAGATAGCTAATGGTAACGAAATTGCCGTGCCAAACGACTTCGTGACTTCCACATTCTGGTTTCGTGCTCCGGTATAAGCGCAAGGTCATCGGGCAGTATATCCGTGATATCAACATCCCCTGACGCCCACTCCCTGTCATAAACTCTTGTGCAATCGGTAATTCAGCCGACACTCTGGGTATCACCTTTCGGCAGTCATTTCACGGCCGTTTCAGTCACCCGGAAGGGCGCTCTCAGTAGTCACGCGCCGTGCTTCGCCACCCTTGCCAACATTAGCCCGATATTGCTGACCTTGCATCGCCCGTGCGGCGCCGCTTGACCCCCAGTGACCTTGTGTGACCTTACAGATGGTCGGACCGCCCAGCTCGTGCGGCAAGTGCGGCGGCTTCCGGATGCTGCCCTGCACCTCGTGTAACGGCTCCAAAAAGTCGTGCCACCGGAACCATTTCACCGAGCAGTGGGTGGTGCTGCGCTGCGGCGCCTGCGACCAGTCCGGCCTGATCCGCTGTGACCTCTGCCTCAGCTGACCTGGAGGTCACGGCCGTGACCTCCGCCGAGGGATGGAGAGATGATCAGTGAATCAATGCACTGACCTTACCGGACAGGCGTTCGTGTGACCTTTGTTGACCTAAGTGGCCTGTTGGTAGCGTGCTGCTTCCGACGTGGATGATGGGTCAGTGAAGACCTCGACAGGACACAAAGGTCAAGTGAAACGTCGGTGACCTGTATCGATCAGCTCAACGCCAAGCAGGAAGCAGGCACATCTCTACCGCCTTATGCAATGTAAAGTAGCTGGTCTCCCTTTTGGTCGAGGCGACCACCAGAGGCAAGTCGTCATTGACTTGCACATGAACTGTTCAGACCGGTCTATAACGGACAGTGATGAGTTTAGATAGGAGTGAACTCTTCAGTGGTGCTGAAAGAATTCAGCACACGTAAAACCCTGCATATTGTGATCCAGGTCGTGGTATGAACTTCAGTGCCACCGATAATGTGGAAGAATATCTCTCCTTGTTTTTAGGCGAGAATGTTTCTTTCGACTAGTGCTGATGCACACGAGGCAAATGTGTAAGTGTCGCTGGTTCCATATACTGTAGGTAGTGTTTATTTTATTGGGCTTTGGTTTGCTCGAACTTACCGAAGGATTGATTTAGGTGTTGCTAATTAATAGGATTTGTGATCCAATTTGAAGCCAATCAGAGTGACTGTTGTACTTTTGCTATATTGCTTCATGGGGTAATGTCCTTTCAGTCTTTCTCTCATCTTCTTTCTTAAATGTAGTCGCGTATACCATGTTAGAGCCCATCAATATGCCTTTCATGTTTGCAAGTGTTGTCTGAAACGGAACATGCTTGCTGCCAAGGACCAACGACTGTCTCCGCTAGTGCAATAGCGGCATGGCTGACAGGGGATGCCGCTGATTATGTCGATGATGTCGTATAGTTATGTCTGAGGTGATGTGAGTTATACAGTTTGGTGCAGTTATATTCTCATCCCTCCGGTGGGAGCCGGCGGAGAAGGGTTTACGAGACAGTCAGGGATCAGTCCAGACCGTTCGTAAGGTTGTGGTCGTCCAGGTATAATCGATGACGTCATATACACGTTTCAGAAACTGGTTGTGGTTGGAGCGGAGAGCGGCGCCTGGTGATTGATGACGTCATTTGGTGACGTCACTCGGTGATAGAGGCCGGCTGTCGCAGCTCTGAGAGATCTGGCCCGTTGTGTTAGAACTTAGAACGTGTGGTCTCTGGGACGGCCGGCCTGTTGTGTTAGTAGAGTGTGGTCTCTGGGACGGCCGTGTGTATCCCGCTTCAGAGCATCGCGTTATTCGGAATAAATGGCAATCAGTAGCGTCGGCACTTTTTATCCTCAAGCATAAGTACCTACAACGATGCTTGTTAGGCCGGACCTATTGGTTTTCTACATACGCGCCGACCGAGGGGGGGTACGAACCCCCCCCCGCCGTTTCGCTCCTGGTGGAGCTAGCGCGTCGCGGAAAAAAACGAGCGCGTGTGCCGTTACGAGACGCATAGATTGACACCCGATTTTAAGGTCCTAGGCCAACCGGTGATCTCTGAGGTCAGGTAAAGTGCCCCAAGGCACGGTTCCGTTTGTGGTGAATTACTTCGCAAAAAAGGCCGCAGAGCCGCGATTTTGGCAGCATCGTGATCGTATCGCTCAGTCGCATCGAATGATATACTTTTTGTTTGGGTGAGGTCAACTTACATAGGGTATTGACCACGGGTCGCGGGTCAGGTCAGCGCCTCCAGGTCACGAAATCGGTCGAAGGGGATCATGTCGCATATCATTCAATTTGCAGGTCTTCCTGAGTCTATCGGTGGCTTTCCCGACTCGCTAACTCATTTTGATCGGGTGTTATTGACGAAAAACTAGTATGACCTTAATGACGTTATAAATGACGTCATACAAGGTCAACGTTGCAAAAGTGAAGCATCGAACCTTGCAAGGAGTGCATCAAATCACGATTCTGTGTGCTTGGGATAGTTCGAGACCGTAACCGGCGTCAAAAAAGCAGTCTTCGTTTTTCCCCATTGACTTATAATGGTGAGGTCACGAAAATGACCTGACCTCATATGTCATTTAGTAAAAATCCGAGATATACAAGTTGTGAGACTCGTAATGGATACTAGATCATGCAAGTTTCATTTCCCTGTGAAAGCTCCTCTGGCAGTGAGGGCGTTGCGAAGTTGCGATATCTGAACACCGTGCAGAGGTTCACTTATGACGTCATAGGTCAGTGACCTGACCTGACCCGAAAATGCTGTTGGTGTCAAAAGATCCCGCTTGAATCAAAGGTCAGGTATGCCAAGTTTCAGCTTTCTATCGCCAGCGTGTTTGGAGCTGTCGCCAAAAAAAAACTATAGGGGGGCGGCACCCGCCCCCCCCCTTCCCTCGGCCGGCGAGGGAAAACATTAAACTTCATTTTAGGTTTTACCCCTTCTTTCCCATCTACAATAAATTACGTTTAACACAATAGTGATAAATAAAGACGGTTGAGTAACGTGACAGGCACACAGCGATAACCTGCTACAAAACATTACCGATAAATTATAAGTGTTGCTATCAATGCAATCAATGCTGAGTCATCACTCACCACCATACATTTCGCCACTTCCTGATCACACAGCGCAGTAAAAATAGTCACAAAGCCGGTGTGTCTCACTGCCTATCACGTATAAAATGACGTGTTCCAAGGCGTCTCTCGCAGTATCGCAACGCATATCAGATAGTCGGGCCTGACAACAAGGCAGGTATGACAAGGTGACGCTACGTTTCCACTCGGAACTCCGAGACGTAAGAGGACCGTTGCTCGGCCGCGGTTAGCCAGTCGCCTGGTGAGGTTCTGGTAGCCAGGTCAGCAACGCTCCAGAGTACATCAACTGAGTATCGCCTGCCCCTCTACAAACTGAGAGCATTAATCAGTTCCGTGAGTAATGAGAATGCCACAATGTTTCCATCTCCGACAACATAATCGATGTTGCAAATATATTTGATATAGACATGCATTATGCAACGCATATCGTTAATCGTTATACATTATAAAACGAAGCTGATGCTGAGCTGAACTAAACGTTCACCTTCTCAAGTAACTTGAACAAACGTGGCGTAATCTCACAGCAACTACATCTTTCAAATAACCCATCTTTTCAAAGTCTCCTGTTCTAAAAAGGAGGCCCTGAGGCTAAGCACCGCTTCTTCCACAGTACCCCCACCTCCCAGAGCTCTGTCATGGAGTTGATTTGGTTCGCCCTGGTTCTCCTCGTCCTTCACTGGCTGTACCAGAACACGAGAAAGCCGGCCAGCTACCCGCCAGGTGAGCTGCCGTGAGGATCAGAAAGGTAATTGAAAGATATCAGACACAGGCAGATCAGGTCGTGCTGACGTACAGTACAACACGGTGTTGAGTCAGGCCCCGGGGGCCCGGATTATGGGGTTAAGCCAGAGAACAGGAACATGCCAGGAGGCAGGAACTGCCCCATATCTCTGCCAGCGACGCAGTGCAGTGGGCCGAAACAAGTTGATTTTTGATGCGGGACGGAATTTGTTATGTGGAGTAGACGGAAACTTACAATTCCAAAATATTGCTTCAATAGTTTACAGCTGTCGACCTCTGCCCCTCCCCCCCCAACATTTCTGATGCATACTACAAGACTAGCTTGCTCTACGCCTTTGCACACAAGCTTTCGCCTGTCGTCTGTTAACCCGCGCCCGGCTGGGGGTCCTGGATTTCCACGCCCTGCTGGGGGGGGGGGGGGTGTTTGAACACCCCCCCTTGTAACTCGGCTCCTGAGCCACGTAGCGATACGCCGAAGGCGGCGTTCGAAAGAGCGTCAAAAATAATGACGAAATCACTTCGGTCAATTTTTTGGTCAGGTCAAAGGTCAGGTCACCAGAGGTCATTGAAGGCAAAATTTCGCCGATTTCCAGGTCGAATATCGAAAATTTCCAAGAAGCCAACGCATAACTCGGGAACCAATAGAGCTACAGCGCCGCGGAAAAGCGCATTCGATAGCCCTATTAACGCCCTTTCTGAGTAATTCTCTCAGATTTGACCTAACGTCAACGGTTTTGCCTGCAGGGGGCAAAAACTGCAAAAATAGCTGATTTTTTTGGAAACAGTGTTTTGGCAATAACTTTTGACCCAAGCCTTGTACGAGCTTACTTTTACCGGCATCGTGTTCCTCTCGTCAAGACGCATCGAATGAACTATAACTTGACCTTGAAAGGTCAACTTGAAAATTTGACCTCAGGTCAAGGTCATGACCTGACCGGAAAGGGTCATGTTGCATATCAGTCGATCCGTATCGTCGAGCTGAACACAGCTAAGGCGTTTTCATCGCTCTAGCACGCCTCTATCAAAAGTTATTTGCGAAAAACTGTTAGATACAATTCGTGACCTAAGATGACCTCAGGGCATAAACAAGGGTCACGGACACCATTTTCATGTTCAGTGTGTCTAAACCACTTGTAATTCAGTGTTTGGGAGTGTTTATAATGTCTTTCGTCCAAAAGAGGCGCATTTCAATTTTCTCCCATTGACTTATAATGGGGAGGTCGCAAAATTGACCTGACCTTAGGTCACCGATATCAAAATTCCGAGATATACATTTTATAGATACTGTTACTCTTATCAATCGATGAAAGTTTCAAAGCGATCGGTCACTCGGTGTAGCTATGACAGACATTGAAACTTTTTATGAGGTGAGGTCACTTCAAGTGACCTGGTGACCTGACCTTGAATGACCTTGGTCTGAAATTTTCACAACATGTGTAGAATTGATGTATGATAAGGTGTGCCAAAAACGGCGGCGCTCCGCGCCGCCGTTTTTGAGATATTCGCGAAAAACCACAAGGGGGGGTGTTCAAACACCCCCCCCCAGCAGGGCGCGGGTTAACTTTATTGCCGATAGATGGCAGCAGTGGTCGACGCCTGAAGTTAGACTGTACCGGATAACTGCGCTCGGCGGCTGGCGCGGCCCGGGCTCGGCGGAGGCCGGCTGTCGTGGTCTTCACATGTTGATATTCACAAATGCGATTGTGCATAGTAATAGTGCCCTTACAGCACATTTATATTTTTTGCCGTTTATTCGTCAGGACCGTTGCGTCTTCCCTTGATCGGGACAATGTGGAAGTCACACCGAGGCGGAGGACCGCCGTTTATTCGTCACTGCGCCATGGCTCGTCAATACGGAAAGGTAGGAGGAAATTCTCAACATCCGGGTGTAACTAAGTTGGGACAGTTAAGTTGGAATTGTCATTTATCACACTGCAACAGCCAACAAGTTGGTTACTGATCATACAATATGGAAAGAACTAGTCCTGCAGCGGGCAGACACATTAATGCCTGATACCGCAGTGAATACAAAAGTCATCTCACGCTAGGGAGTAGTTTGAGCTGCGGAAAGAAATATAAAGCAAGTCTATGCTTTTTATGCACATTACACAGCCCATAGACGTAACGCTAACATACAGTAGAAAGCCATTGATAGTGAGTGACGCGTCGGGCCACCAGTGTCGGGGCCCATAATATGCGGATTGGAAGCATTTCTCATTGCAGGATATTTTCCCCAGTAGTTTGTACCGGCTTCATCAGTTACTAACAAATCAACCGAAGGAATCAAACGATAATGCCAAAATGACTGGACTGTGCTGATTTGCCGATTTCTATTTTCTGTTGCAGCTGGTCGGTTACTTCACGTTCCACCAGCCGGCGGTGATGATCTTTGACGCAGATCTCGCACGAGAGATCCTCTCCAAAAACGAGAGCACCGGACGGCCTCATTTGGAGATTCTCAAAATGAGAACATTCGGCGAGCTCAGAGGTGAGTGTGTGATGTAATGGGTCTCGTCTGATTCGAGTCACACACTATTCCTGAATTACTCAGAATTGAGATGCTCAGCTTCAGCCAATTTCGGTGATGTAAGAACTAAGAATGAAAAAGGGTCTTTTAATATTTTATATAAGGTAAGATGAAAGACAATATAAGATGTAACGCGCATAAAATTAACATATGACCGCTTCCGTGCAATATACATAGAAATCCTATTCTCGAAAAAAACTAACATCAAATATCCGTTTTCCCAAGCTATGCCGTTCCACCTTCCACACGTCCATAAGCTCTCTCGCTATCCACTCCCAGTAACTCCCGCCGGCTCTCTTACAGGCATCCTGTTCAACGACGGCGCCTCGTGGCAGCGGCAGCGGCGGTTCGCGCTGCACCACCTCCGTGACCTGGGCATGGGCCGCTCCACGCTGGAGGGGATCGTTCAGCGAGAGGTGACCGACCTGGTACAGAGGCTGAGGGACACCGCCGGTAGACCGGTGGCCGTCGATCACTTCTTCAACGTGAACGTGCTCAACGTGCCCTGGGAGATTGTGGCCGGAATCAGGTAAAAACAAGACATGTGGTAACTGGTGGGTATCCGAAACGAATAAAAAGCATACGCAAATTAATCTAAGAGTGCGCCCGTTTAATAAGGCACTCCTAAATCATAGCGATGAATGGTGATATCCAGAGGTCGGCAACGCTGTCGGACAAGCGACTTCGATATCATGAGAAATGAGGTTTTTCTAATGATTGTTTTCTTAATGAAATTAATTCTAGTTTTTCCTTCCTGTCCCCGTGACACGCCCCTGGACGTCAGGTTTCAGCCGGACGACCCGCGTCTGCCCGTCATCCTGCGCTCGCTCAGTGATGCCAGCTCGCGCAGTACGGGCCTGCTGAACCTCATACCGGTGCTGCTGGGCCCGCAGCTCGGGGCACCGATCGCCCAAAAACTGTACAGCGGCGTCCGGCGCAACAGAGACGGACTGGTAGAGATTCTAAAGGTCAGCTGGAGAGAGGGGGGGGGGTAGACTGATGGGGACAGCAGAGTAGCCCAAGAATGACGAAATAGGATCTATATGTCACAAAAAGGATATACGTGTTAGAAATCGATAGCTTAATTTGATTCGGCAGAAGTTAGCTAACACGCATGCCGCGTTAAGTTGACAGATGAACCGCATGCGGTAACTACCCCTAGTTTCACCATTGAATAGATTTAGTGCCCTATCAGACTCAAACTTTTATCTAACTAGTCAAGTGCCACTTTACCGAAAATTTCATCAGTTCATTGCAATGTGTCGACACAAGTCATACGAAATTGCTGACTCATCGTCAGCTTCCGCATACGCAGCTATCTGCGCAACATGGCCTAGGATCACGCGTTGCTACCATATCTGACATCTCCGTTATCTAGACCATGTGTGAGTTCTGCCAAAGTGCAAGTTCGAGGGTATCCGCATCACTAGGCGGTGCTCGAGTCGATGACACTGTATCCGTATCGCCTGTGGTCCTACCTCACCTTCGCTATGCTGCTCGAATGCGAATCGTTGAATGACGCAATGGGGACACCGTTCAAATAGATTAACGCCTTCCTTCGAGAGTCACGTTTCTTATGAAGCACCAGAGATGACTGGTGGTGTGAGAAGAAGATAGGTAAGGAATCAACCTCCGATCCTTGTATTAGTCTTGCTCGTCATTGTCACGAGTGCGATAGTTGCTAGGTGATCGTAAAAAAGATACCGTGCGATCGTATTTTCACACGAGTGATAAGTGCAATGTATCCGGTTTTGATTTCACAGAAGGAGATACAAAGCCACAGAGAGACGCTGGACCCCGAGTCTCCGAGGGACTTCATTGACGCATTTCTTATCGAGATGGCTAAGTCGCCACAGGAATTCACAGGCAAGTTTTTTGACATAATGTGTGGAGAGCAGCAGTAAATATCAATAAAACAGAATACCTAAGACCTAAGTCATTAGCGTTAGCAAGATTGTCTTATTGTTTTGGCTTCACTTCCAATATGCTTAGCAATTAACATAGGCAGGTACGTCGACCTGACGTCTTCTTTTTCAGACGTCTTTCGATGAGAAAAAATAGTGCTTGATTGTGTGACAATGCCCTCACTTTCTCGCTCAGTCCTCGAACTGACCCCCTCTCCCTCCCTCCGTCTCACAGAGCTGACTCTCTACTCTGTCCTGATGGACCTGTTCACGGCCAGCACGGGCACCAACAGCGTCACCCTGGAGTGGGCCGTGCTGCTGCTGCTGCTGCACCCCGAGTGCGGCCGGCGCGCGCGCCGCGAACTGGACGCAGTGGTGGGCCCCGGCCGGCTGGTGACCCTGGAGGACCGGGCCCGCCTGCCGTATACACAGGCACTGCTGGCTGAGGTCTTACGCAGGAGCTCAACACTGGCCCTGGCCGTGCCGCATCGGGCAGAAGCCGATATTACGGTGGCAGGTATGGTAGGAGAGCATGGGAATAGATGGGGAAAGGGAGGAGGGATGTGTAGATGAGTACAGGGAATGGGATATGGAGAGGAACGAGCGCAAAATCAGGAGGCAAAGGCCATTCATGAATCACTATTTTGACTAGTCATGGTGTTATTCGGTATATGGTCTCGATAGTTGATGATGCTATAAATATATCAATGTTTGATCGCACTGGAAACAGATAAGAAGCTGTGAATGACTAGGCAGACTGGGAGCAACAAAGGTAGTTATCACCACTCATACATGTCAAGTTGAAGTTACTATTGCACCACTCCCTAATAAGAATTCAATATGCACAATTATTCGATACTGATGCGGATACAAATGCGTTAAACATCAACGCACACCCAATTCCCCGTCAAATTCACCAACGCATAGAAACATCTACCACACACGTACTTACAAATACCCGACACTAAATAGCAATATCTTCTCAGCCATCGGGCGCGACACTCTCCCTTCTTCCCCTGGCAAGGAACGGTCACGGGATGGTCATGGGACACCCATGGACACATAATGATCACCCTCCTCCCCTCGCTCCACGCAGGTTACCGGATACCCAAGGACAGCCGCCTCCTAGTGAACCTGTAAGCTATCCATCACGACCCGGAGTACTGGGCCGACCCGCTCGAGTTCCGACCGGAGCGGTTCCTACACGACGGCCAGTACCGGCCCAACAAGCACCTGATGCCGTTCGGAGTCGGTGAGGAGGGGAGCGGTGGATTCAATGGTTGGAGCATAGGGTTGGTGGGTCTATGGGTTGCGATTAAATTGACAATGGTTCTTTGAGAAATTCATTTACTTATGAAATTATGTTGGTTTGTGTTGGTGAGAATGCCTGCTCGTATGTGCGCAGAAATTTACGACTTGTCGCCAATGGAGTCGATCGCATCTACCTATATTAGCCGTGAATAATCGAACTAAATAACACATCATGTTAGCTCAAATTCAAGCAAGGCTCAGATCTAGCCATGGCCAGTGTAACTACACTACTGTTGTTCCATTAATCCCTGCATGCCTGTTCCAGGTAAGCGCGTGTGTATGGGCGAGTCGCTGGCCCGCATGGAGCAGTTTCTGTTCCTCGCCAACATCGTACACCACTTCGAGGTGCTAACGCCCGCGGGGGAGAAGGCTCCGCGGTTCGACTACGTCTGCGGCACCCGCAACTCTCCGGCCCCCTTCAGGGTGGTGTTCAGACCCACTGACTCACAGGCTGTGAACGAGAGTGCGTGAATGCTGAGCGAATCCCTATGTACGAAAGGAAATGTGTTGAGGAAATGAAATTGCTTTGAAAGCTCTTGAAGAGCTTTCAAAGCAAGGCTAATGGTGAAAGGGATAGATAGTCGGCATTGTTATGTTACCATGGCGACTGGGGAGTCAGGAATGCGGTGCAGCTGTGGTTACCAGGATATTCTTAACTGTGGTGTATACTTAAGGACGGGTTATAAAGACAATATGTTACTCGTATATTTTAGGGATTGCTTATCGCATGATGTTATTGGTTGTCAAGAGCAATTCAAAGTGGAACCTACTGCTACTTCTGCTGTTCATTGTACTTTTGTTATCAAGCATTGTTCCAATACCCAAGCATTGTCAAGTGCTTTACAATATATTATCTTATCACAAGGCGCTGTGTAATGGTCATACAAGATCCAAAAAGAGCACAGCAACACTGACCCGAAAATGATCGACACATACGTCCCCTCCCCCTTCCTCCCCACCACGACCGGCGGTTCGGAGCCTGCCTTTCTCAGTGATCCGTCCTCCGACCGTTCGGTTCCCTCTCAGAAGTCGAGCGGCGCGCCGGGCCGGGCGGCCTGACACCCGGCGGCCGGTCGACCCTTGCGAGCCGGTGCCGAGTCGTCCTCCTGAGACCGGCTGGCCGTCTCTGAGAGCTCCGGAGGCAGGTGTAGGGTCTGGGGGACGACGGAAGGACGGTTAGACATAGCCGGTGGAACGGTACCAACGCGGCAAATGTACCGTGACGGGGCGGTCCTGATAAAGTTCACTAGGTTAGCGAGTAGCGACAATGTTCGAGATACTCTGATAAAGCAGAGATAACCTGACTCGTGGGAGCATCGCGATAAAAAGAGCACCGAGTCGGTTTCGATAACGTGAACTGAGAAGCAGGGCGAGCTCATTCACTGATAACAAGGAGCGAGATAAGGTTTCGAGAGCACTGTCTAAACAAACGATGTGGATCGAGAAAATTACCGCTATTAAGGAAAATAGATACCTAATTCGCATCTTACGGACCCCTCTCTGTCTCTGTCTCTGTCTCTCTGTCTCTGTCTCTCTGTCTCTCTGTCTCTCTGTCTGTCTCTCTCTCTCTCTCTCTCTCTCTCTCTCTCTCTCTCTCTCTCTCTCTCTCTCTCTCTCTCTCTCTCTCTCTCTCTCTCTCTCTCTCTCTCTCTCTCCCGCACATTTACACTTCCACTCACCTCCACCGAAAACTTTTTCCGGCGGACCTTGAAGGCGAGATCGGGATGTCGCGGATAGCGGGCAGCCAGCACATTGCGGGCCGACAGTCTGTGGACATGTACCAGACCGTGGTACTCGCTGAAGGCCGGACTCTCGGCCGCCGGAGTCCCCTGGAACGACTCCAGGCCGACACAGATGTCAGCGCACCGCCGCAGCCGCGCCACCAGCGCCTCGTCCTGGAGCGGGCAGCGGACACAGGGTCAATGGAGGACGCTGCAGCAAGTAACTAGTGAGCAGAGAGGATGATACACTCTGACGAGACAACATTTGAACACATTAATATATTCCTTCAGAAAGTAAGCAGCTGCTCATAGTTTGATGCCCGCTGTATTGAATCAGAATTTGAGCCAAAATAGCAAGACAAGTCCGCATATTTTGCGTAAGACGTAAATCAATATGCCTCTTCCTCATACTCACATTATCACTGACTACTAGCTTACAACGCTCCCTTCCCCTCTATCTTCTCCAAAACTCCCTAGACTCACCGTCCAGAGGTGAGTGGGCACCGTGACCATGGCCACAGCGCCGGTGACCCTCAGTAGCGCCCTGAGCAGGTGGCACGCGCGCACCACCAGCTCGGGCGGCGCCGACCACAGCGGAGAGCCCAGCGAGCGGACCGCCAGCCGGCGGACCGTGGGGCCCGTGTCGGGCTCGGCACCGGACGCCAGCCGGTCACAGGCGGCCAGTAGCGAGCCGAGACGGTCCGAGGCGGGAGCGTCGTCTGCCCGGGCAGGGGAGGGTCAGAGGACGAGAGTTAGCGACAACATGCTTCAAAAGAACGCTATTTGACGAAAACAAAATGATAAAATGATAAGATATCTAGTACGCTGTTGTTGGAACGGCGATACCTTGCGGCACGTTAAAAACAATACATATTGTATTCAAGCACGGGGTAGGTATGTGATGCCTCACATACCAGCACCTGGAGGCTCCTCCTCAGGCCATAGCGATATATCCATGGCATCGATGGCTGACTTCTCAATGTACCGACTGAGATCGTAATGCTGGCCGAACCTGAGGACAAAATGGGCAGAGGTCTATCAGCTTTTTCCGATCAAACAAAACTGTAAATTAAAGGTATATATAGCATGTCGTACCGTCTTCCATCACCGTAATCAGTTCATCTTAAAAGTAGGCATAAGTTAACGAAGTGGATGCTGGCTTGCTATGTTATCAATTCTGGAATTAAGCTGGCTGTATGCAAGTTGTTTTATAAATTGCGTTGGAATGAGGTCTTACATTGACATATTGTTACGTTGGCACATGTCATCTAAGTGGACGCCGGATTGCTAAGCTGACAAAGCTGGGATTAGGCTGATTGTGTGCGAGTTTTTCAATCACTACCTGCCGGCGGCGGGCGCCGGCTGCTGCGGCAGGCCCTGATACCGCCAGGCGATCGTCATCCTCTGGTCGGCGGCGCCAGCTGGCGGTCGAACGGCCGTCACCTCGCCGTCAGCCGGAGAAGGCAGCTCCAGGATCTGCCAGACCGAGCGACGGGGGTGCGGTGAGGGCGGCGATCGCGGTCCTTTGTGGGGAACGAGGTGGTCACAGGAAAGAATGTAAACACGATGTTAAACGGAAAACCTAACCAAACATTGTAATATATTTATGAAGATCATGCCGAGGCAATCATGCAACGGTTTTTAAAGCATTAAAAATATATATCGTGCCTAAAATACTTCGTTACTGATCCAAGATGCAACATAGTAAAAAACTTCCTCAAGGATTCATCACCGTCTTACATGAGGATTGAAGAATCCCCACGACACGACAGCACAAGGCAGTCCGACACTCACCATTTTGGAAGGGTCGGCGTCCAGGCTGGCCGCCAGCAGTCTGTGCCGGTTGCAGACGGCCTCCGACATGAAGTAGCTGAGCACCAGGTGGGCGTAGTCACCGTACTGGTCCTCTTCTGTGGACCACACACATGGAAAACATCTTACGGCACGGATCTAAAACGGGTAACTTAATGGCTAAAATATCAGTCACGGTAGCCCTAGTGAGGAAAATGCAGAACCTTTTGTTAGACCACAAAAAATTACAGCGGGCATTCCGCATGAGGATAATTCTGACGTCATAATCAACGCTAAGCAGAACTTTTGGCATAGGTCTACTACCCGACAAGGAATTCAGGCACACACTATAAATACACGGCATAGCAGATAGGTAAATGACAGCACTCAAAGTTGAACGTGTCCGTGTCTACGTAGCCAGGCACAGTCCGCCCCTCTCCATCCTCTACCGAGATCTCCGCCACATTCCGCCCCTCTCCACCCTCTACCGAGATCTCCGCCAGATTCCGCCCCTCCACCCTCTACCGAGATCTCCGCCACATTCCGCCCCTCTCCACCCTCTACCGAGATCTCCGCCACATTCCGCCCCTCTCCACCCTCTACCGAGATCTCCGCCACATTCCGCCCCTCCACCCTCTACCGAGATCTCCGCCAGCGCCACATTCCGCCCCCTCCACCCTCTACCGAGATCTCCGCCACATTCCGCCCCTCTCCACCCTCTACCGAGATCTCCGCCACATTCCGCCCTCTCCACCCTCTACCGAGATCTCCGCCACATTCCGCCCCTCTCAATCCTCTACCGAGATCTCCGCCATATTCCGCCCCTCTCCACCCTCCAACGAGATCTCCGCCACAAACCGACATTTCCGGACAAATCGTCGTCTAGACAAATCTCCGTTCAACAGTTTTCATCCAAAGGAATGAATATAAACATAACAAAACACACCAAACCTAATCTAACAGCTTTCAGCATTGCCTAGAGCCTATTCAACAATTCTTTAGAAAAGGTTCAATGAACGAATAATTGCTCTGAAAATAAATTGTCCGGAACAGCAGCCCGATAATTATTTCCGTCGGAAAACCATCGGGAGTGCTGAAGCGGCACACTGGGCCCTCACTTTCACTGTTGGGTCAGGTGACTGACACCCCACTGAGCCAATGGGGTGGACACTGGACAGCTCTGTTACCTGTGTCAGCAAAACTGGAACAACCACATTTGAATCTTATTCTGCAAGCATACCAACTATTTGGCATTCATAGGTAGGTATGCTTGCTAATGCTTATGTTCTTTCCACAGAATACAAAGCAAGGAGGGTGATTCTACAAGGTAATTGGCACCTTTAATGTGGCACTTGGTGAATCCTTAATTTTCCTCATGAACACAGCTGAACTAAACAGTGAACATGATGAAACAAAGTTCACTGGCATGCCCAGCAAGTGATTTATATGGTTATTTATAGGGCAGATTCTATTAAGGCTTCTCAGATACCTACTTACCAATAATAACCAGTGATCCAAGTGGTATGCCTCCATCTGCCAAACACAAACAAAAGAAAGCTTAGATCATACCATTAGAAGGCTCATGTATAGCCATGGTTCTAGGTAATAAGCAGTAACAATGCAAAATTATTGGGGCTATGTTAAGTCCTAAGCAGGCCTTAATATGCTATTTTATCTGCTAAGTCAGAACAAAATGAAAGAGGAAGGCTATGATGGCCTAGCTCCCAATAGTCCCTTGTACTAGAATGAGCTAAATAGTCTCCACTGAAAAAGTTCTGTTGTTGAAATACAGAACTGTGCAAGGTTCACCATAGAGTACTACGTACTAGGTAGGTAAATCAATGGAAAATGCATAGGCATGTAAAAATAGAGCCAATAATGACTCCCACTTGCCAATAACATGATCTAGAGATGGTATGCCAGATGACACTATAGTCTGCCCTGAATGCAAGGATGGCTTTGTGCCATGGACTTTCAGAGAATTATCACTTAATTTCTGAAGGCTTGACATGGCACTGCACCTGAAACAAACAGAAAATAATAGTATTATACAGCTGGAGGCAGCATTTCTTGTCAGCAAATTATTGTAAGGCAACATAATCTTGAAGTTTGTGTGCATCTAGCTCAGTGAGAAGAAGAAGAGAAGCCATAAGCAAATCAGAAATCTCAATATGTCAGCTCTCCAAAATCACAAAATTTAATGGGCAAAAACAATATCATTTTTTCTTTACACAAGAAAATTATCAATCTGATCAACCTGTTATGCATTGAGGGGCATTGAGAGCTGATGATTGCGCAATGCCGAAAGCTTTTCATAACGTTGTTTTATTTCGAATCCAGAATTTACTTTTA